GTAATCAGATAACATTCTTATTTTATTATTCTATGGCTAAAGAAAATGGTATTTTTGTCAAGTTTTCTGTTTTTGTTTTTTAATTAGTATAAATGGTATATTTATCTTAAAAATTGAAGATAATTTTCCAGTTTCATTGTTATGTTACACAATAAAACAATTCCCTGCCATTGAATGGGTTCCAACTCACAACAGCTCTACACTGGGTTTTGAATGCTGAAATCTCAATGACACTCACTGTCCACTGATCTCTCAACGAGACACTCATGCTTTCAAAACACCAGAGTTGCAAGGCCTTTGGCTAGTAGTTAAACACACATCTATACCAACAGAGTACCTTTATACAATAAGTGTAGTTTATGAAATGTTCTAAGTTAAAACAAATTAAACTCATCTCAATTTTGTATAATCAACAATGAGCATTTTAAACAGTATAATACAAGAACTAAAAGTAGTAACCAATCCTTTCTTCCTTTTTAATAAAGTTCTCCATTCTATTTTTCTATTGGAAATTTCCATACAATAAAATGTATACACTCAGAACTTACAGGGATATCATCAGTGCGGTTATCCTTCCAGACTTCTAAAAGTGCAACCACCATGTCTCTCAGTTCACCCCTGGAAAGAACTCCATCACGGTCAACATCAAACACCTTGAAGCAAACTAATAATGAGGGGGACATTATTTTTATTTTCTGATATACATTTTAGTATACTTAGTATACTTTCACAAGCACGTGTTTTTTTTGATTATTTTCTTATTTTCAGTAGACTTTAATATGTCATGAAAGTCCTAAGCAGTACTTTCTGTATATATTTCATAGATCAATCTCGTTAATCCATTTTCCAAGTTGGTGTAGTCTATTCTATAGTTAAGTCTGAGGCAAAGTACTTGCAAGCCAGAAAGAGTCATTTCACTATACAAAATGTATTACAATAGGCATTAAGGAGATAACTGAAGCTCTTAAGATTATTTCTAATACTCTCACAGGAGACTGTTTTCTTACAATATTGCCTATATTAAGAATCTGTAAGAACTAGCTATGCTTTTCCTCTTCAGTGTAACTAATGTATGTTTAGTTGTTTTCACATAGATAAAGTGCAATTCTTTTGTGATGTTCATATACAACACGCTAAGAAGTAGAAAAGTAGAACTTTGGTAATTAAATTCAAGTGAATCATTCTAGTTTATTAATTTCCATTAGCCCATTAGTAAAAATTTAATTTCAAATTAAAACATCTGTAAAAGGCAATAAAAATTAACCTCAATCGAGAAGCACAGATGTCAGCTTCCGTATTTTAACACTAGAACTTTATTGAAGACAATCCATTGCTTTGGTAAAATACGGTTCAGTTAAATGTTGAATAAAGTTTCAATATTTAGGCTACTATTTAAATAATATGACGAACCTGTCATAAAGCTAAAAAGGAGTAATGACATATCAACACAAAATTAGAGAAATCGGAATTTTTCAGTAAAAAAATTATTTCATATAGTCCCATAACAGAATAATTACACTAATAAACCAGCTGAATGTATCATAGTGTTAATATTACCAAATAAGATAAAAATGTCAAATATTTCTGAAATAGGCAACATTTGTGAAGATGTATTTTTGAAAGATTATGATAATGAATGACTCTTACAAATAAATTTGAGTTGTTGTTGTTGTATATCTTAGAGTTGTAACAGACCAATAGCGGACCCTCCAGGGGGTTTTCAGAGGCAGTTAATCACATGAGAGGAGACTGCCTATCTGCAAACTGTTAATTTCTCTGAAACATTGTTTCAACTTAGTAATGTTTAGAAATTATAATACTTTAGCAAGGTTAAAAATACCACTTTAATATTTAATAAATTTTGTTTTGATCATAAATTTCATTTTGTTAATACAATATTAAAGTATGCAAGTGACAGAAAATGAGTTATATTTTAAATTTATGTAAGATACAAAATTATCTAAAGAGACTACCAGAAAAAGATTTCTTAAATGCTTAAAATTTTAAAATCCCTGATAATTTATCATTAATTTCAAACTTATTAGGAAACTCAACTTCATTATTTATGCCAAAGATCATTAACTACTATAATAAAAAAAGAAGAGATGACCTCTTCCTTCCAATGACCTTTGTAAAACCACAACATAAGGTACTATTTGTCAACCTGGTAAAAATACATACTAAGGTTTCAAATTTCCTATCTTAACTAGGTGTAAAGGTGTGTTCCCCCCCACCCCCAATCTGTACAGTTTGCAATTAGTGTAACAATCTGTGTAACACTTACATTTTTGTCTTTCAGCCAAGGGTCCCCTGCAACAGGCTGATAACCCACAAGATATCTCTTTAAAATCTATGTGATTGTCACGATTTTCATCAAAAGCATTAAACAAACCTATAGAAGAAGAAAGAAACACCATGCCATAGTGAGCAAACTTTTAACATTAATACCAACATGCTAACAAAAGGAAGCGTAACTCCTAATATCCACTGTCACAGGAGGTATGGTTTCCTTTTCCTCTTGGCATAATTAGAATAGAAACTTATCATCCTTCCAGAAAATACAACATTATATTTTAGTTTCTGGTGTTGTGTGTCTCTAGCGTTTATCAACTCTGTTAAAAAAGACTACAATATATAAAAAGTAAAAATGGGTAAGTAGATATAAGAACTCTCAAAATGGTCAGAACTCAAAATTCCTGAGAAAAAGTAAAAAGAAGAAAAAGGGTGAACTACTTACAAATGAATACTCAAAGATAAACACTGTAATGTTGCCAATATATCCCTTAAATCTAGCTCTTTCTTGAAGCAAAAGAAAGCAACAGAACATAAGAGATTTTCTAGTTGAGTGACTTCTACATGCTAATATATTGCATGGAAATATTTGAAATCTCAGAGATCAAGGGGAATTTATCAATAATCTAATCCTATAGTTTTTATATTTTAAAAAAGGATTGACTTTTCCCCCAAAGGAATTATTAATTTCTAAGGACATATCAATTTCTGACTCTAAAAAAGGTAAAAACTGATCTGTTGCAGTTGGTAAAGGTCGAAGCCTTTCAGCTCTAGCCTTCCTGACAACTACCTTTAAAGTGTGCTAATAATATGAATGATACAGATTGTGTATCCCAAGACAGTAGTGGTTTTTGTTTTTTTGGTATACTGAAACCAGAAAAGCCAATGTACATCAATAGCACCCTTCCAGTACTGGAAGTTAAAGAGAATCAGAAAGTAGACTGTCTAACATGCTTGTTTGTGGCAACTACCTGGGTCCACCTGATGAGTGAGAGAATGCAGCAATGAAGTTTGGATGTGTTCCATTGGCACTCACTACTCTAGGACACTCAGATGATAAGAATAAATGAAGAAAGGCTGATGACCTGAAGTGTAGGGAATAGTGAGAACTCTGCTGACTTAGCCTATGTAAGGGGTTAGGGCTGACAGGAAGTGACCAGTTATTCTGAAACAAAGTAAGGTGTGAGAACCTGAGTTTGTAACTGGTGCCCTTTAGATCTTGGCTCAGATGGCCAAAAGTGAGCTGACCAGAACCTAAGTGAATGAACTATGAGCTAGTAGGTTGATGGTGTTTTTAGGCACCCCTGAGTCAAGTAAGACTCAACAAACTTATGAGCACTTGAGAGATCTTAACCTTGTTCTATCCTGTGCCATCCTCATCATCTCTGACACATTTGAACCCAATGCTGCAGTCACTGTGTCAATCTATCTTCTTTGGGGTTTTCCCCTCTTTTGCTGACCCTCTACCTTTATAGGCATGGCCTAGCAAAATGCCCAAAGTATGTGAGACAAAGCTTCGCTATCCTTGCCTCCTAAGAGTACTCTGGCTATGCCTTCTCCAAGAAATATGTTTGTTCTTTCGACAGTCCATGGAATATTCAATGTTCTTCTCCTACACCACACACAACTCAAAGACATCCATTCTTCTTTTGTCAACCTTATTTGTTGTCCAGCTCTCTGAGGCATAGCAAGTGAGACTGAAAAGACCATAGCCTAAATCGGGTGCACCTTAGTCATCAAACGAACATCACTGTTCCTCAGTACTTTGGAGTGGTACCTCATGTCACATCAGAGTTGCACAATGCAATATCTATCTATCTATCTATCTGGCTGGCTAGCTATCTATCATGATGTTGCTTATCAGTCCATGGTGAAGATTTTTGTCTTCTTGATATTGAGATGCAATCCATATAAAAAGCTACAGTCTTTGATCTTCTGCAGCAAGCATTTAAAGTCTTTCTCATTTTCAGCAAATAAGGTTGCATCATCTGCATAATGAAGGCTGTTGAGACTTCCACCAATCCTGCTGGCACATTCATCTTTATAAAGTCCAGCTTCCTGAATGGTTTGCTCAGCATACAGATTGTATAAATATGGAGAAAAGACAATCTTGACACACATCTTTCTTGATTTTAATCCTTTACTCTATTTGGGCAATCGTTTCCTGGTTTAGACAAAGGTTTCTTATGAGCATAATTTAGTGCTCTGGTATCCCCATCTTTCTCAATATTATCCATAGCTGGCTATCACCCACATAGTCAAATGCATTTGTATAGTCAATAAAACACAGAAAAACATTATTCTGGCATCCTCTGCATATAGCCAGGATCCACTTGACATCAGCAATGATATTCCTGGCACCATGGTCTCTTCTAAACCCTGCTTGAACTTTTGGCAGTTCTCTGTCAATGTATGGTTCTACTAATTTTTTTATGATCGTTAGCAATATTTTGCTTGTATATGATGTGAGCGATACTGTTCTATAATTTCTACATTCTGTTGAATCACCACTCTTGGGAATGGACACAAATATGGATCTCTCTTCTAGTTAGTTGGCTAGGCAGCTGTCCTTCAAATTTCCTGTGGTGAGCACATGCAGTGTAGTGTTAGTTGAAACATGTCAAATAGCATTCCATCAATTCCTGGTGCCTAATGTTTTGCCAGTGCTTTCAGTGCAGCTTGAACTTTTCCCTTCATTACCATTGGCTCTTGTTCATATGGTACTTACTGAAATTTTTCAATGTCAACACTTGTTTTTGAGCTAGTGGAGATTGCTGAAAATTGAATGCTTTAAACTAAGATTTGCTGACAGATGCAGATGCTCAAAGTTCAAATAGGTATAGAAGATTCTTTAGAGAAAGAAACATGTTTGTCTCTTCTGAATTGAGGTAATAGGGATGGACATTATAAATTGGCTATCTAAAATAAGAGGCATGAGGCATGAAGCAGTTAGCTAGCTGACAAGTGTTAAAGGATATATAGTTAATGGTAAAATGATTATGAGGGGAAAAATCATCTTTCAAATTGAAGAACAATGTCTAGAAGAGCTAGAGAGGGTGGTCTGCAGTAAATTGACTGTTAGAAATAGCTTTCCTAATCAATGCCTTTGATTTTTGCCACATCACAGGATTATTTGTTGTTGCTGAGTTTTGCTGAGTCAGAACCAACCCATAGCTGACACTCCAGCAGGCTTTCAGAGGCAGTTTATTGCAGGGGAGGAGATTGTCCAGCCTTCTCCCGAGAAGCAGCTATTGGACTAGAACTGAGTGCCTTTGGATTGCAGGGCAGCTTCTTGCCACTCGGCTACCAGAGCTTGTTAATAATGTGGTCTTGTGTAATCAATATGCTACCAGAGTTTCTTTATGAAAGGTTATAAAGGTATAAAGTAAAATCCTGAACAGGCTACAATCTAAATTCCCAATTTACTCTTCCCCCAATGCATAATATTTGCAACAAACTTGCAAACCTATTTAAAACGTGGTTAAGTGTAAAAGAAAAGGAAAGATGTGCTTACCAATGAATATTTATTAAAAAACGGGTAATTCCTACCTTCACTCAGAGACGGACGAATAGGTGGTGAAACTAATGGGCCAAATGTCTCTAAATCAAATCGTCCAGTCCGGGATTGAGCCTTCAATAACCAGTACCGTTTCTCCAGATCAATGATGTCTGACTCTTCCACTGAGAATCAGATGAAACAAGATTATAAAATCTCAAATATCTCTTCTGGGAAATTAGTTTATCTTGATAATTTATTTTCATTTCATAATTCAATTGCTAAAATGAACCATGGCCTAAAACAAAACTCTGAAAGACAAAATACATATATCTATACTAGTAAAAAAAAAGTCAAATAACTACTTTTACTCAGCTTTTATATTAACTATAAATATCACTTTAACCTTAGAAAGGAGAAAGAGAAATGGACAATTAATGAAATAACTAAATAAAACATCTTCTCTCATAGTTTCTCAATCTTGACACTCCAGATGTCACTTCACTCCAGATCAATATTTCTCTTTGTCAGCGGAAGTGGTTATCCTGTGTATTGCAGGATGTTGAGCAGCATCTCTGGTCTTTATCCACTAGATGTCAGTGGCAACCTCCTAGGTGTGACAGTTAAAATGTCTCCAACACTACCAAATGTCTGCTGGGAGAAAAAACTGTCTCCAGTTGAGAAATGGAAAATGCCATGAAATGGAAAGCTGATCTATATAAGAGCTTTTTTTAAATAAAAGAGCTTATTTTCATAATGTCTAAAAAAATATCCATTTGTATTGGTGATAATGTTAAATAAATTGATGATAGAAAATAAAAGCCTACTACACTCAATACTGTTTCATCCATTTCAACCAAATATTAAAGACCGTACAGACATAATTCTAAAGATCTGAGTGCTTTTATGACTGAATCTATGATCAGCAAAAACGCAACATATTTCTCTCAATGCATCACTGACAGAAGCACAGCACAGATTAAAAAAAAATCAAGATGGTAAAAATCTTACAAACTAAAAGATAAATTGTAAATAATAGAGATTTTTCAGGCATCTATCATTTTCATTCCTAACACAATTATGCAAATGTTCCTTATTACAAAGGAGAGTTTGATAATTAAACCTGACAAAATGGATTCAAACCTGTACTGTGGCTTTTTATGTTAGAAATTTTACATGTGTTTTATATTATTCTTCTGTTCCATTCTGAAAATGATATAACTTAGCCAAAGAAAGGAAAAAAGGAGAAAAAGTAAACTTTATTTTCAGCTAAAGAAACATAAGCCTTCTATTTCCAAACCTTCTTCCAAGTAGTAACATATAAAAAATCTGACTCTAAAACAAAAGCAAAGAATATATGTTCTCACTTCTATTAAAACCATACACAGAACGGCTTTCAATGAGTACTTTAGATTAATTGGTGTTTCTATAGTACAGTAAATTAGAATACAAAGCAAAACTTGATCAATTCCATCTTAATTCTTATTGTTTAAAATTAAATTTCCTAATCTCCTTAAAAGTACAATTTCTTTGTTGCAGTAAACATGTAAAAACATTTAGAGAAAGAAAAATATCAGTTGATCATGGTCATAAATTGAGACGATGCTTCAAAAGATTTTTACGCATATGTGATCTATTCACTTTCTATATATAATAGACAAATTTTGCAATTAATCATTTGTAAAAATCAAGCTAAAGTCAATTACATATACTATGTTATTACTAACCCAACATACACTAACTGAAAGCTGAACTGCTTTGGAAAGGAAATTCACAAACTTTCTTTTCACTTAAAGAAGTTAGAGATAATTATTGTAATAGATACAAGTTTTCCAATTTGCAAATCAACACCTAAATTTATACTCTACTAGATAAGTAGGAATGAAATTATCACCCACCTACAGGTGTAATTTTTCCTGCTTCCCAACAGCAGCATACCATACTCCTGACATTCTAAACTGGTTTTGGCCTGTACCTTGTGCCATCTTAATCGAGTCCCACCTCACCAGAAACTCCAGTTGCAGAAACAGCCCTTAAAGCCACAGGTGGATCCTCATTTTAAAAAGCCAGAACAATATCTAAGTGTTCACTCATTCACACACACACAGAGAGAGAGAGTGTTCTACAGCATTTTTGGAGGAAACAGCCAGCTCTCAAAAGCAATGACCTTCGGGATCTACTTAAAATGGCTGTAAGCCGAACATCATTACTACCAGATAAGAGGATAATGCAGGAGGGACATGGAGATTTACTTGGCGGTTTATGTTCTAAGAATCAATGAAGTAATTTTTTCCTTATAGAATGAAGGTTTTAACATTATAAATTAGTAAGAAGAAAAATAACATGCATATTTTTAGTTGTGCTAAAACAGATAAAGAAAATATAAATTTCTTTAGAAGATTTAGAGATAAAAAACTCAAAATAAGATCTACAATCCTAAAATTTGCCAAAAATCTAACATTAATTACCTCAGGATCTAGTGAGCAGAATTCACTGGCTTGTCCTTCTTTTATGATACTTTCTTTTTTTAAGAGAACTTAAAAATTCTTGAATTTACTTGAAATCACATCTTTAAGAAACAGGCACACATTTAATTCCAAAAAATGTGGCTGAATTCTACAAAACAGCATGTTCAATCTTAAGAAAAGTTAACTCAATAACTATTAAAACAAAAATATCAAAAATTCCCAAAGATGACTTTACTACTGGTAAATTCAATGATCTTGCCTGTACCAAAAGAAATTCTCAAGACAGGAAGAATTTAAAAAACCCAACAACTTATTTTTAAATTTACTAGTGAAAAAAAGAAAGTTGAGAAAAAGGGAATTTGCAACAGTCTGAAGTGACTCGGAGGAAGATCATCACAACTCTATGACATGACCCAAGCTTCTATCTGCAATTACCACTACCCGCTACTTACAAAAAGAACAAAATCACTCTGTGCTTCTCAAGCCCTAAAAGTCCTAGCATGGATTTATGGCTCAAAAACCCAATTCTGCCTCCTCTAAGTCATTTGAAAAAAGGCCCTGGTAGCAGAGTAAGTAACGCATCAGGCTGCTAAAGGTTGGCAGCTTATATCCACCAGGTGCTCAGCTGGAGAAAGATGGACAGCCTCTTCTGTAAAGACTCATACTTTTGCAAACCTGATGGGGGGTGGTTACGAACTGGAATCGACTACTCGAAGTCAGAGGTTTCGTTTTCAGTCACTTGATCTTTGGAAAATGGTTCAAATTTCTCACAGCTTCAGTCTTCTCATTTTTATTTTTTTTTTTTTTTTCCCAAAGTGGTATTGTTTTAATAAACATTAGCAGAGACATTAATGTAAAGGTGTTAAGACTGTGGTGAAAACATAAGAATAAGCAAAACAGGTGAAATACTGGGTTAAACTTAGAAATAAAAAGAGAGTCCCTTCTCCACCTTTTTTCCTATATTATGCCCTTTTCAAATAAACTTCTTATGGGGGAAGATTTTAGAATTAGAAAAATTGCTGAGAAAGTTCAGACAGCAGCTTCCCTCAAGGTTACTAATTTATATAACCATGCATCTTTGACGAAACAAAAAACAATCATTGGTACAGTATTATTAACTTTGTTAATATACAGACGTTATTCTGATTTTATCACCTATGAGTTGTATTAATCAAGATTTATCAGAAATAAAAACAAAAATGATTTGTTATATCAGAAATTGGAAAGCCAACGGAGAGGCCATCAGGCTGGAAATTCAGGAAGAAGCTGACGTT